CGAGTCATACCCCTAACCTCCGACCGATCTGTGTGGACGAATATTATGGCTTTCTGATCATTCCGCGGCACTAGAAAAAGGCGGCTCAACCTCCCCTTGGGTTTTTCTCCAGAGCGCGCTTCCCAGTGAGTCGCCTAATGTCAGCGTCTTTCGCAGCGTGGCTAGGCTGAGACTTTCTCAAATCATCAGGTTCAGGCTCTGTTTTAACCGCCCTTCCCTAGATTGCTCTCTTTGCCCTTGTGTTGCATTTTACTACAAGCCTCAAAAGAAATGAGAAAATCCCTTCAGCTAAATACCCAAGTTTGCGGTATACGAGTTCTGCCTTCCACGGAGCTGTTGGCTACAACTCAGCTGTGCATCTACCCTATAAGGGTTCCCCTCTCTTCCGGTTTCCGACAACATTAGCCGGTTCCTTCTGAGCCCTCAGCAGCAGAGCTGTTAACATCGCGTTTGTCCTAACCGTCTGGAGAAAGCGCTCTGTCGTGCCCATAATCTTCCAGCCTCCGGCCGTTCTTCAGGTCCCCGACCACCTCTCCATTTCAAGGTGTTTGTCACGGGAGCACTCGGCTCCAGGTCCCGCCATCTGCCTGAGGCGCCTCTTGCCGTGGTCACGCATCACCACAAACGCAGTGGCTTAAAGCAGGACGAGGTATTACAGTTCGGGAAGGCAAGCGTTTGGACGGGGGTTTTACAGGACTAAAAGGAAAAAACAGGGCCGCTCTCCTTCCAGAAGCTGTAGGGAGAGCGCTTCCTTGCCTTTTCAAGCTTCCAGAGGTCGTCTGCTTTCCTTGGCTCGTGGCCGCTCACTCCAGCCCCTGCTTCCGTCGTCATGCCTCCCTGGGCTCTGATCCTTGGTCTCCTTATAAAGATCCTTGCGAAGACACGGGGGCTATCGGGGAATCCAGGATAACCTTCCCCTTCCCCGAGACCCTTCATTTAGTTACAGCTGCAATGTCCCATTTGCCACGGAGGGTTTTGGGACTGGAATGTGGGCATCGTGGGGGAGGGGCTGTCTTTTCGCCGGCCACGCATGCTCTCCAGTACAGTACTGAGGTCCTTAAGACAGGTGCCCGGGGACACATAGATGAGTGGTGCTAGGTAAAAGTACTGCCTCTGTTGCTTGTTGGGCCAGGAAGAACTAGAAAATGTCCTTTTAATGGGAAGAGGGTTTTCCCCCACCCAATCAGGTACTAACGTTAAATGTATTACACGCTCACAACATGGATTCCTCTAACATTAGGATGTCTCACTCGCACTGACCGTTACTGTGCACGCATGTGGGTTCAGTGTTGCCTCCTATCAGGATGTCCATGTGAGATTTTCCACTTCTTACAACACGATAGCGGGCAAAGCAACCCCGCGGGCCAAATTCAGCCTGCTGGCCAGTTTACAGCCGTTCTCTCACGGACTAGTGAGGTGACCCGATGATGGATCGCGATGGTGGACGCGTCCGTAGATGAGAGATATATGGCTGATCCCGGGATAGGAGTCTAGAGAGTCTGAGCCCACAGAAATGCTGTTCAAATTTCAGGGTGGCTAAGAAACAGCCGAAGTTGAGGCTGTTGGCATAAAAACAAGGCAGGGCAGTATAGGGCCATTTTCTTTGTTCCTTTACTCATGTAGCCATGATGTCTCCCAAGCCAGAACTATGGGGTGGAGATCAAACAAACAAACAAACAAACAAGCACAAAAAAAACCAAGATAGGATTCCAGTAGGAGAAGACCTATGAATCTTAGAGGCGAACAGAGCCGGGGTGCCCGGCTGGCTCAGTCAGAAGGGCATACGACTGTTGATCTCAGGATTGTGAGTTGGAGCCCCAGGTGGAGTGTAGAGATTAAATAAAATTAAAAAAAAAAATATATATATATATATATATATATGTATATATATATATATAAAACAAAGGCTAACAGGGCTCTTACAAAGGCTCTGAGCCTGGTCCAGCCATATACGGAGTTGGGTGAGGCCACATAATAGATTTCACTGCAGGTCATGGGGTTTTGGGTTTTGAAATCGCTACCGGGAACTTTACATAGATCTGTTCTGAGCACCTTACATGCTGTTGCCTCTTTTTAACAACAGCTCTGTAAGGCAAGTGGCCCAATTTCATGAATAGTGAAAAATGAGAACAGAAAGGTAAATACTGTTACGTCAGTTTCATGGAACAGAAATTAAACAGGTCGTGGAAGTCATCCAAGGCCACAGAACCACCCGGTGGGACTGGTAGAAATCCGGGGTGTGTACATTGTCTCAGATGATAAGTAGCATAAACATGGGGATAGTCGCAGGACGGAGGCAGGATCAGTCAGGACCCAGAGATCAGCAAGGACAGTAGTGGATGTGGCAAGATAAATCGTAGGGTCAGGATGCTCTTAGTTTTAAGTGCTGGTCCGCCTGACTCCTACTTGTTTCAACACTACAGAGAGTTTACTGGCCTGTATACTGCAGACTGAGCAGAGCGTCTGAGTGGCTGAAGCAGCTTCTGGTGATTACGTTGTTCTGCATCCAGCGGGATGTATTCTACCCAAAATTGCGAGCCAAGTCCTGAGGCTCTGGATCGGCTTGGGTTTTTGGTTTTGGTTTTGACAGAGAGAGCACGGGAGGGGCAGAGAGAGAGGGAGAGAGGATCCCAAGCAGGCTCCACCCTGTCAGTGCAGAGCCCGGTATGGGGCTCGATCTCACGGTTCTTGAGACCTGAGCTGAAATCAAGAGTCAGACGCTTAACCAACTGAGCCAGCCAGGCGCCCCCGAGGGTCGGCTTGGGTCTTCAGCCCACCAACCAATATTCATAGGGAGACGGCATGGATTGTTTGGCTTAACCTAGCTCTTTTATTCTGTTCCTAAGGCTGGACATGCAATCTCTTCCCCTGAACCGTCAGATTCCCGGGGCGCCTGGGTGGCTCAGTCAGTGAAGCATCCGCCTTCGGCTCAGGTCATGACCTCACGGTTCGTGGGTTCGAGCCCCACATCGGGCTCTATGCTGGCAGCTCAGAGCCTGGAGCGTATTTCAGTTTCTGTATCTCCCTCTCTCTCTGACCCTCCCCTGCTCATGCTGTCTCTCTCTCTCTCTCTCTCAAAAGTAAATAAAATATTAAAAAAAAAAAAAAAGATTCCCAAAGAGAACTCAGGAAAGTGGGTGGGGAGGATGGATGCTGGAAGGAGAATCGATACAGGTAATGCCCCTTGAATCCTGGCACAAGTGACCTCTGTATCCTAGAGTCAGGGACTTAACGGACAAAGATACAGAAATGTGAGAAACTTGTGTCTCAAAAAAAAACCTCACTGAGGAATGACCTTGCTTGTTTGGGAAAGGTGTCATTTATGGGAAAGGTTAACAAAGGCAACAAGAGACTCCCAAAAGCAGCAGCTTAAACAAGACTACGTTTATTTCTCGGGGCACCTGGGGGGCTCAGTCGGTTGAGTAGCCAATTCTTGATTTCGGCTCAGGTCATGATCTTGTGTCCGGCTCTGTGCTGACAGCGAGGAGCCTGCTTGGGATTCTCTCCTCCCCCCGCCTCCCCCATCAAAATAAACATTAAAAAAGAAAAAGTTTGAGAGGCGAAACTACTCCCCTCAATCTTTTCACTAGCAAAACAAAACGAAACAGACTTTGTTTACCTCTCTCATGTCACAGCTCTCGAGGTTCCAGAGCTGGGAGTGTGGCATCCTCACAAGTCAGTTCTCTTTCTGAGTTCGAGGTGGCTGTTCGCCTCTCAGCGGTGAAGGGAAAGGGGCAAGGAAGGGCACGTCCATACTTCCCGTGGCACTGCCCGCGTGGCATTCTTTCCACTCATTTCCCATGGGCTACTGCATGATCACACACCCACCGCCGGCTGTGGGAGACGTGGGGGATGGGAGTCTGGGTGGCCACGGGCCCACCTGAAACCTTGACGGAGGACTCGTCCGTACCGCGGTCGGGGCAGGCGACCCTGGTGTCTATTCTGAGCACACGCCTGTTGCGTCTGATCCTGAAGCACATGTCGGCTGGGCCTCCTGGCCGAGGCTGCTGCGCCCGCCACTGGCTGGTCCCCCGGTAGCGGAGGCCACCATGGCCGAAGCACCACGCCCGAAACGGGGCGGCTGCTGCAAGCGGCTTCGCTGGCTACTGTCCTTCCCCTCGCGTCCACACAACTCGACACCATACGGGAACAGCCTCCAGAACCGCCCCTATCAAGTGGCCTCTCCCGTGTCCCTGGGTCCCTGTCTAAGGGCCCCCTGAGCCCAGCGACGCGCCATCACCACACTCATGGCCGCCTCTCTCTGGGTAACGACGCATAACCACCTCTCGGACCAGGCTCCCCCTCCAGGTGAGGAGGCTTTGCTCCCTTGGCCTCAGATTTCTTATCTTAAAAGAGGGTGACTCCAAGCACTGCTCCAGCTCTGACAGACCCGGCGACTCCAGAAGAGCTCGGAAAGAGGAGGCCCCCACGACCAGACAGGGGAGCGCGGAGAACTCACGGAGCCCCGCCGGCTCGGACCGGCCCAGGGGCCGTTTCAGCGCCCGCTTCTGGGGCTGCGGTCGGCGCCCCCCGGCCGCTGTGAGGGCTCCGCTCGCTCGGAGGCATGACGACGAGCGAGCTCCTAAGGGCACGTCTGCTCTCACCGAAAGGACTAGAAAGGGGGCCGGCGGGATGCGATCCAGAACGGCAGCCGTGACCCCGAGCAGCTGACAGTCAGGGGCAGCTGGGCTCCTCCGCTTCCGCGGTGGCGAGAGTTAACGCAAGCTACGTGGCTCCCGTTATCGCGAGAGCAAAGCCAGCCGTCGCGAGCGGGCTGAGACGCTTCTCACTGCGCAGGCGCGTTTGGCCAACGCCCCCATTCTTCGCACGCGCGTCGCTGCGACGCCCGACGCCCGGGAAAGGCCGCCCTACGGGAGCGCGTCTGCGTTTCCTCTTCCTCCTCCAGTCCGGGCTCGTTTTCACTTCCGGCCTGCCACTTCCGGTCCATCGCGTTTGTCCTTCCGACGGAAGCATCGGCGGTGCGGTCGGCTAGAGTGTTTCAGTTCCCGCCGGGGTCGGCCTCGCCGGAGTCGGCGAAGCCTCGGGGGCTGGGCCCGCGGGCGGCGCCCTCGCTGCCACCATGGTGAGTTGGCGGGCGCGGGGTGGAGGGGCGAGCGGGCGCGCAGTGGTGCAGGGGCGCAGTTACTGCGGGCCGGCTTCAGGCTCCTTGGCCACCTGGAACTTGGGTTCCCCTCCTCCTCTCTGCAACTGTCACAGTTTGGGGCCAGAAATGGGAACCTCGCGGAGCGGAGTTACCGCCCCCGACAGCGTTTTCGTCTCGGAGAAGCGTCTCGGTTATCGGCCGGGGAAACTGAGGCACGGAGAGGCGCAAGGACCGGCCCCGAGTCACGGTGCCTGGCGCCGCCCCCTCGTTTGTCCCCAGGCCGCCTGCGGGCGATGAAGAGCGGCTGTGACCACAGTTTCTGGGCTGTTTGATTTTTGTCTCTTCTCATCTCCCCGCAAGACGTAAACTTCCCGGGGGTGGGGTCTTTTCCACATCGTTTTCTCAATGCCTTCCACGGGGTCTGGCGCGCTGCGGCGGCTCCGTCACTGTCGAATGGATGGCGGCGTGTCACCGCCTGAGGGTATGACCTGTGTCCGGAGTGGCTTGCTGGCTTCTCATTGGTTCGAGAAGCGCTCGCGACACGTGAACTTGAGCCTGTACGTAGCGCTGGTACACGGGAGACGCTCATACCTGTTAGTCCCCGTGATAGTTTCGTTAAGTGAAACCCGCCTAAGAAGCACAGGACACAGTAACAAGGTTATAGACGGTGTATTGCAAGCGCTTGTAGATTAATGAGCCCAAGATCCCAAGAAGGAAAGAAGCCTTCTTGGGGTAGAAGCAGCCCTTTCTGTGGGAGAATACACCCAAATTAACTGCTTCAGACTGCCCTGCTCAGCCCGGAGGCTCTGGTTTCTGAACTCTAACAAACATAGCGAGTCATTCTGTCCATTCCCTAGCAAGGGGAGAAGAATCCGTGGGCCTGGGTATTTTGGGGTACAGGAGTCGTTGGGTGTTTTACATCACTGTCACCGTCACACATTCATATTTGTGGGCTTACAGTACACTGGGTACCTGCCCACACCCCATTGGTTCATTGTTTGATGGGCAAGTTCCAACCAGCACCTAACGCGGTGTTTTAGGCATGGAGTAAGCATCGCGAAACACAAAAGTAAATCTCTAGAATTTAGTGAAGTAGGTAGGACACTGCCTCTGCCTCCAGGACGATGGCTTGCCCTGGGAGAGCTACTTTGTTTTATTCCTTAGTTGGTGATGTGTTCATGTACCCGCCAGGCTTTTGCCAAGTTCGTTGCTGCGTCCGTTGAGACAGAAGGCCAGACAGGAGACTTGCATTGAACTTACTTTTGCTGAGTATCTGAGAGCTGCCTACCGGATGTTTTTAAGTGTTTATGCCTCTCGAGGAGAGAAGAAGTATGATCCCCGATGTAAAGATGGGGAGCCTGAGCGACTACTTCTCAGGGATGGCAGGCGGAAGAGTTGAGAGTAAAGTTCAAGTCCCTGGCTTAGCAAGTGCTCTTTCTACTGAGGCTACAACCAAGAAAACATGTTCTGTGCTTGACGCTGCCTCAGGGACCGTTGACTTGACACTCATGTGACTAGAGTTACGTAAAATTCACGTTGGAAAAGCCAGTCCTTTCTTCCTCAAATTCTGCTGGCTGGAAACAGACAGTAGGGATGCTGAGCGGAAAGGACCATGGTCGTTATAAACCCAGACGAAAGGTAGCAGCCCAGTTGGGAAGAAGGGGCCACACATGACCTTTCTGGAATGGTGATGACACGGGTGATACATTTGGAAGGATGGATAGGAGTTAGCCAGACCCAGGGGTGGGGACAGTGCAGGAGTGAAGATTTTAGCTGGAGGGAGCAGCATAGGAAGAGTCACAGGATTTTGACATCTTTTGATTTTTTTTTCTTTTGGTTTTCTTTCCTTTTCTTTTTTTCTTTTGGTATATTAGTTCAACCTTTATGCTTGTGACTATCCTTGTGATACTTTTCTCTAAAACGCACATGGAAAAAAAAAGGGTATTTTAAACATGGGCATTTTTCTCCCCTTCTCTCTCCTTTTAGGCCCGAAATGCGGAAAAGGCCATGTAAGTATCAACTCGATTTTGTCTGTAAATTTGAAGCGGCTTCATTATCACCATGGATAATGGTGATAATTATCTGAAATTAGTGTTAAAATAGTATTCCTCTGTCTGATGTTTGTTTTCCCTAGGAGTGTTTTCTGACAACTCCCCAGAACTTACGCTGGATAAACTTGAGTCCCGTTGGGGGTGGGCCAGGGGCCAGGAGAGTGACCACGAGGCACCACGTGATACTAGTCTTTTAGCATCCGGATGCGTCGTTCACCAAGTGGTCTGATCAGTAGCGTTCCCCACAGTCCTTCCACACAGTATAAGTAAAATGGACACTTGGGTATTCACGGACACCAGGGGCTTTTTAAGCTCCACTTTGGGGACCCGGAAACCCATAACTTCTCTATGGTGCCTTAATCTCTTGGCGCATACTCACAGATGCTCTCTTTTTACAAAGAATAATTTTTTTTTTATTTTTATTTATTTTTTTAATTTCTAGGAGAGAGAGACAGCGTGAGCAGGGGAGGGTCAGAGAGAGAGGGAGTCACAGACTGAAACAGGCTCCGGGCTCTGAGCTGGCAGTCAGCACAGAGCCCGACGCGGGGCTCGAACCCACGAACCGCGAGATCATGACCTAAGCGAAAGTCGGACGCTTAACCGACTAAGCCACCCAGGCGCCCCAAAGAATAATTATTATAATCTGTACGTAAATGGTCTTCCCGAATGGCTGATGTTAAATACGGTCATGAGCAGATCTACCCCATCTAGGAACGTGGGTGGTGAGAACTCTGTGATCAGTATCTGATGGAGTCTTCTCTCTTCCTGACAGGACGGCCTTGGCCAGATTTCGCCAAGCTCAACTGGAAGAGGGAAAAGTGAAGGTTGGTGTAAATCCTCCTCGTGAATTGTAAAGTGTCAAGAACAAAGCGGCAAAGCTCTCTCCTGAGCAGACGAGACTTCCACTTTCTTGCCTATACCTGCCGGCGCTCCCACGAGTCCCTCCCCTGAATTCTAGGCGTATCTCTCCGTAGCTGGGGCGGTGTGATGAGCTGGCTGTTTCTGTCTCCTCTGTGTTATGATGATTGGCTTATTGCCCCTGCTCTGTCTACTAGTTGGGGGGGGGGGGGGCGGGGGGGGGGGGAACGTGCTGTGGAGACGAGCTCCAAGCCGAAACCAGCGTACGGTCTCAACTCATGGAGACTCACCCCGGTCGAGGATAACAGGTCCCATCTCAGTGGTTTTGTTTTCGTTTTATAAAAATTATACACACGTGCTCTCACACACACGTCTGTTCTAAATATTGTAGATATTATTTTTTTAAGTTTCTTTATTTTGGGAGAGAGAGAGCAAGTAGGGGAGGGACAGAGAGAGAATGAATCCCAAGCAGGCTGTGCACCATGAGCGCAGAGCCTGATGCGGGGCTCAAAAGCACGAACCATGAGATCATGACCTGAGCTGAAGTCGGACGCTTAACCGACTGAGCCACCCAGGTGCCCAATAGACATTATGTCTTAAGAATATGAATAGGGGCGCCTGGGTAGCTCAGTCGGTTAAGCATCTGACTTCAGCTCAGGTCATGATCTCATGGTTCGTGGGTTTGAGCCCTGTGTCGGGCTCTGTGCTGACAGCTAGCTACAGGGCTTGATGAAGATCATCTGGAACTGAAACGTCAAATGTATTTAGACCATTAGACCATTAGTCTTCAGGGCTGAATCCATTGTGAATACTGCATAAAGCTCGTAACTAGTCCAGTGGCAATATGTGTATTTTCTTCTTCATAGGAAAGAAGACCCTTCCTTGCCTCAGAATGTACTGAGCTGCCCAAAGCTGAGAAGTGGAGGCGACAAGTATGTTCTGGGTGAATCTGGTCTTAGTAGAAGTAACAAGTCTCTGATTGTTTCTTTTTCTATTGAAGCGTAGTTGACACAGAATGTTACATTAGTTTCAGGTGTCCAGCACGGTGAACCCGCAGTGTAGCTACCATCTGTTACGATAAATGCTGTTCTAAAACCATTGACTATATTTCCTATGCCGAGCTTTCCCCCGTGACTTATTCCCTAACTGGAAGCCTGTATCTCCCACACCCCTTCACCCATTATTAGGCCCATCCCCCACCTCCCTCCCCTTTGGCCGTCATCATTGTTTCAATCAGTTGTTTCATCATTGTTTGAACAATCAGTCATTGTTCTCTGTCTTTATGGGTCTGTTTCTGCTTTTTTGTTTGTTTATTGATTTGATTTGCTTTTTAGATTCCACATGTAAGTGAAATCACATGGTATTTGGCTTTCTCTGTCCAGCGTATTTCACTTAGCATAATACCCTCTAGGTCCATCCATGGTGTTGGAAATGGCAAGATCTCATTCTTTTTTATAGTTGAGTAGTGTTCCGTTGTATATAACACGTCTTTCTTATCCATTCAACTGTCCACGGACACTTGGGTTGCTGACATTTCTTGGGTATTGTGAATAATACTACAATTAGCATGTATCTTTCAAATTAGTGTTTTCATTTTCTTTGGGTAAATACCCAGGAGTGGAATTCCTGGATCATATAGTATTTCTATTTTTCTTTCTTTTTTTTTTTTGGAACCTCCATCCTGTTTTCCGTGGTGGCTGTGCCAAATTACCTGCCCACCTGCAGTGCACAAGCGGTCTCTTCCTTCCACATTCTCACCAACACTTATTTCTTGTCTTTTTAATTCTAGCCATTCTGACAGGTGTAAGGTGATACCTCATTGTGGTTTTGATTTATATTCGGGTTTTTCTTATTATCTAAGTGATTCTTTACCAGAATTCTAAGTATTTTTAATTACTAATTTTGAATTATATTTTTCTGTGCTTTCAGACATAATCAAACATCATGAGAATTTATTTTTTTTTTTTCACAGATCATTGGAGAGATTTCTAAAAAAGTGGCTCAGATTCAGAATGGTAAGCTAGCTTGTCTTTTACAGTTGTTGTTTTTTTTTTTAAGTTTTTTTTATTTTGAGAGAGAGTGCATGCATGCTCGAGTGGGTGAGGGGCCGAGAGAGAGAGAGAGTCCCCTGCAGGCTCCATGCTGACAGCATGGGAGTCAACCTCACCGGACCACGAGATCATGACCTGAGCCAAAGACAAGAGTCGGACCTTCAACCAGCTGAGCCCCCAGGCACCCCGCAGCGTTGGTTCTCAAATCCACAGAAAGACTTGGTGCCGTCAGCTTTTCTCTCTCAGAAATCAGTAGAACAAGTAGATAGAAAATCGGTAAGGACAATAGTGTTAACCCGCTTGACATTTACAGAACAAAAAAAAGAATACTTTTTTTTTAAGTTTTATTATTTTTATCTATCTATCTATCTATCTATCTATCTATTTACTTTGAGAAAGAGTGTGCCAGATGGGAGGAGCAGAGAGGGAGAGAGAATCCCAAGCAGGCTCTGCACCATCAGCCTGGAGCCCAACTCGGGGCTTAAACTTAACCAACCATGAGATCGTGACCTGAGCCAAAAGCACGAGTTGGACGCTTAACCAACTGAGCCTCCCAGGGGCCCCAGAATACTTCCTCTTTGTAAGAGCACCTAGAATACTTACGAAAGTAGAACATGTTCTGGGTTGTAAAACAGATGTTAGCACATCTAGAATAATTGAAATCTTACAAAATGTGTTCTCTGACAATAACAGAATTAATGTCGAAATCAGTAACGGAAACATGTCTAGAAAATTCCTAAATATTTGGAAATTAAGCAGCATGTATCTAAGCAGCCCACGTGTCTAAGAGGAAACTCCGAGGATGTTCAAAAATACTGTGAAGTAAATGCAAATGAAAACGTAGTTAAGGGACAGAAACAATCTTGGGGGCATGTATTAAATCAGTGCTTTTTTTTGTATTAAAATAATAGAAAATAAGAAAGGTCTCAAATCAGTGATCTAAACTTATACCCCAAGAAACTAGAAAAGAAGAGTAAATCAAACCCTAAGTAAGCAGAAGGAAGAAAACAGTAAAGAGAAGATAGCAATGAAACTGAAAATGGAAGATGAAGAGAGAAAAGCAATCAAAAGCTGATTCTTTAAAAAGATCAATAAGGGGTTCCTGGGGGGGCTCAGTTGGTTAAGTGTCTGACTCTTGGTTTCAGCTCAGGTCCTGACCTCACAGTTCGTGAGTTTGAGCCCCGTGTCGAACCGTCAGTGCGCACTATCAGTGCGGAGCCTGCTTGGGATCCTCTCCCGCCACCCCTTTGTCTGCCCCTCCCACACTTACTCTTTCTGACTCTTAAACAAACCTCAAAAAAAATTAAAAATAAAAAAATATTCATAAAAGGGTCAATAAAAATCAAGAAACTTCTAGTCAGACTGACTAAGAAAAAAAGAAGATACAAATTGGGAACATCTAGGAGCGCCTGGCTTGTTTAGTCAGTAGAGCATGTGACTCTTGAGCTCAGGGTCAGAAGTTTGAGTCCCACGTTGGGTATAGAGATTCCATAATCAACCAACCAACCAACCAACAAGCAAACTTAAAAAAACGACAAGCATGGGGAGTGATGTTGGGACTATTATTACAGACAAGAGAAGGTTAATAAGGGACTATTACAGTGCTCTGCCCATAATTCAACAACTTAGATGAAGCCGGCCACTCCCTGAAAGACAGAAACTTGAGAATTAGTTCTTAAGAAAATAAGATTTTTTTTTAAAATAAACTCTATGCCCAGTATGGAGCTCAAACACATGACCCCAAGATTGAGAGTCACATGCTCTACTGACTGAGCCAGTCAGATGCCCCTATATCTATTAAAGAAATTGAATACATAGTTAAAGCCTTCCAGCGAAGAAAACTCCAGGCCCAGATGGCCTCACGGGTCAGTTCTACCAAACATTTAAGGAAGAAATAATAACACTTCAACACAGTTTCTTCCAGAAAATTGAAGGGGAACGAACACTTCCTCATTCATTTTATAAATTTTACTATTAACTTTACCACGATACTAAAATCAGAAAAAGACATTGCACGAATAGAAAAAATTTGCCTGCCGGTATTCCTCATAGTGTAGGAACCCTCAACAGAATATTAGCAAACCAAATCCAGTAATTTCTAAAAAGGGTAATACATCACAACCAAGTGGGAGTTCTCGTTGGAATACATGTCTGATTCAGCATTCGAAAATGAATATCATTCACTGTATCATCATTCTAAAGTAGAGAAACCTCTCTAGATAATCTTTAGGAGAGACATCTCAGTAGATACCAGAACAGAAAAGTATTTGGCAAAATTTAACATCCACTCATGGTAAAAACTCTCTGCTAACTGGGAATGAGAGGTAGCTTTTTTCACCCCGATAAAACACTTCTACCAGAAAACCTATAGCCAGCATCGTACTTACTGTGCAAGGCTGAATGCTCTCCTCCTGAGAGCAAGGACCAGACAGAGATCCCTGTTCCTACCACTTGTATTCAAGGTCGCACTGGAATTCCTAGTCTTGTGCAGTAAAGCAAGGAAATGAAAGGTGCACAGGTGGGAAAGTAAGAAATATAATTCTCTTCCTCAAAACTACGTAAATTTCCACGTAGAAGGCCCCAAGAAATCTTCTGGGAAGCTTTCTAAAATGAAGGTTACAGAATAGAAAGTCAATACACAAAAATCAATTCTGTTGTTATAAACCAGCGCTGAAAAATTGGTAATGGAATTTATAGAAAGGGCGGTTTACAAAAGCACCAAAGCAGAAGAAAATATTTAGGTTTAAATCTAACAGAACATAGGTGCGATCTGTATGCTTCAAGCTCTGCAACCCTGATGAAGGAAATCAGAGAAGACCCAAGTAGATGGAGAGAAACAGTATTCGTGGATGGGGAGACTCGACCTAGTAATGACGTCAGTTCTTTCTCTTTTCAAATATTGTCACAATCAAAATCCCAGCGGGATTTACTTTAATAGGTTGCCAGATTTTTTCCACATTTTAAATGAAGAGTCAAAGGAGCTAGAATAGCCAGAATAATTTCAGAAAAGAACAAGACTGTAGCATTCATAACCACCTGACTTTAAGATTTAATGTAAAGCTACTGTATTCCAGATAACGCAGTAGTGGTGAAAGATGGGCCAATGGAAGACAATAAAAAACGGCCAGACATGCGGTCAGTTGACTTTTGACAGTGGTACAAAAGCCATTCAGTGGAGAAAGTTGGGGGGGGGGATGCTTCCTTGCAATAGCGAGGTGATTCTTTATTTCAGCGTATCAGGGTTCATTAGCCATTTCCCTTTGTGGTGGGGTGCCGCAAACCCCTTTGTGCCATTCCTTCAAATAAGTCCCTTAGGCTTTATTCTCACAAGACAGTCTTTGCCGAAGGATGTTCCCGTATAATAAAACTTTGCTTTGCTGAAAGGGAGAACCCAGCATAATTCTCCAGTCCCTGGTGCTTATGCCGGCCTCGCTGCACCTTTGCTGGGTCGGATGCTAGGTGCCCCCACCACTAAGGTATTTTTAGAGTTGTATAAATGGAACCGTAGGATTGCTTCCGTTTATATTTCTTCAGTCGCTAACGAGGACAGATTTCTTCCCCCGTGCTGGTGGGAACTCTGCTCATCATCCTTGCCTTTTCTTTCATGTGGGTGTGGATGGTTTTTCTTATAAATTTACACGAGTGTTTTCGTAGGTATTGACCTTTGTTTTGGAGGGGTAACCCCGAGTGCTGTCTTGAAGACACAATGTGAATGTTCTTGTTTTCCAGCTGGTTTAGGGGAATTCCGAATTCGGGACCTGAATGATGAGATTAACAAGCTGCTACGGGAGAAGGGACACTGGGAAGTCCGGATAAAGGAGCTGGGTGGTCCTGACTATGGAGTAAGTAAGGCGGGGTCTGTGGGTGTTGGGGGTAAGCTAGCGAGCGTTTCGGCAGCCTGGGTAGCTTTGCACCCCTGAAGCTCCCCGCCCATGCCGGCCGCGGAGCGGAGTGGGTACCTGCAGGGGGACGGGAAGCATGGAAAAGATGGGATAATTCTTCCAGCCCGTAGCACGGCCCTCCGAGCAGACAGGGCACCTGAGTTTACTGCCCAGGTGTGCTTGAGTAAGCCACTTAATCTCTCCGGGCCTCTTGTTTGTTTGTTTCTTTTTAAATGTTTATTAATTTGTTGAGAGCGAGAGAGAGTGAGAGTAGGGGAGGGGCAGAGAGAAAGGGAGACAGAGGATCCGAAGCAGGTTCTGTGCTGACAGCAGAGAGCCCGACATGGGGCTCGAACTCACAAACCGTGAGATCGTGACCTGAGTGGAAGTCTTAGGCTCAACCAACAGAGCCAGCCAAGTGCCCCTGGCCTCTTGTTTAAAATGACCATGGCCCTGGAGCACCTGGCTGCCTCAGTCGGAGGGGCGTGCAACTCTTGATCGTGGGGTCCCACAATGGGTGTATAGATTACTTAAAAGAATAAAAATACTTATAAAATGTTTATTATTTAGTTTGAGACAGCGATAGAGCAGGGGAGGGGGCAGAGAGAGAGGGATAGAGAGAATCCTAAGCAGGCTCTGCGCTGTCAGTGCAGAGCCTGATGTGGGTCTTGATCTCACGAACTGTGAGATCATGACCTGAGTCGAAATCAAGAGTCAGATGCTTGGGGCGCCTGGGTGGCTTAGTCGGTTAAGCGTCCGACTTTCGCTTAGGTCATGATCTCACGGTTCGTGGGTTCGAGCCCCGCATCGGGCTCTGTGCTGACTGCCAGCTCAGAGCCTGGAGCCTATTTCAGAGTCTATATCTCCCTCTCTCTCTGACCCTCCCCTGCTCACTCTGTCTCTCTCTCTCCTAGAAATAAAAAAAAAAAAAAAGAGTCAGATGCTTAACCAACTGAGCCACCCAGGCGCCCCAAGCTCATTCTTTTTCATGGCTGAGTATTCCATTTTACACACACGCGCGCGCGCACACACACATACACGAACACACACCTTCTTTATTCATCAATCAGTTCATGAACAGTTGGGTTGCTTCCATATCCTGGCTATTGTGAATAATGCTACGATATTAGGAGTGCGTATTATCTTTTTGACTCAGTGTTTTCATTTTTCTTTAGGCGGATTCCCAGTAGTGGAATTACTGGATCATAGGGTAGTTCTGTTTTTAAGTTTGAGGAACCTCCACACTGGTTTCCACAGCGGCTGCACCAGTTTGCATTCCCACCAGCCGTGCAAGAGGTTCCTTTTTCCCCACATCCTCGCCAGCACCTGTTGTCCCTTGTGTTTTTGACACTAGCCGTGCTGAGAGGTGCCCAGGGTGTATCATTGTAGGTCGGATTTGCAGATATATTCTCCCAATTAGTAGCTTGTCTTTTTGTTTTACTGTTTCCTTTGTTCTGCAGAGGCTTTTTATTTTGATGTAGTCACAATAGCTTATTTTTGCTTTTGTTTCCCTTGCCTCAGGACACATATCTAGGACAATGTTGCTGTGGCCGATGTCAGAGAATTCCGTGCCTGCGCCCTCTTCTAGGATATTTGTGGTGTCAGGTCTCACATTTAGGTCTTTCATCCATGTGGGGTGTATTTTCGTGTACGGTGTCAAAAAGTGGCCGTTTCGTTCCTCTGCATGTAGCTGTCCAATTTCCCCAACGCTGTTTATCGAGGAGGCTGTCTTCCCATTTTGCCTATTCCAGCCTCCTGTGTCATGCGTCAGCTGACCGTGGAAACCTAGGTTGGTTTGTGGGCTCTGTGTGTGTCCCGTTGACCTGTGTGTCTGTGTCTGTGCCACTGCCATTCTGTTTGGATTATTAAGTTTTGTTGGATATCTTGAAATCTGGAATTCAACTTTGTTTTTGTCAAGATCGCTTTGGCTATTCAGGGTCTTTGTTCTACACAAGTTGTAGCATTATTCGTCCTAGGTTTTCGAAAAGTGCTGCTGGTATTTCGGTAGGGATTGCATTAAATCTGCAGGCTGCACTGGGGCACATGGACATCTTCACAGCATTAATCCTTCCGGTACCTGAGCGTGGGATATCTTCCCGTTTCGTTTGTCGTCCTTAATTTTTTCCATCAGCGTTTTATAGTTTTCAGAGTCCAGGTCTTTCACTCCTTGGGCAAGTTTATTTTATAAATTTTTGGTGCAATTCAACATAAATGTTTTAACATATTTCTTTCTAGAGTTCTTTTTTTTAATGCTTAACAATTTTATTTCCATTCTCTATGTGTAAAAGTGATACATTTAGGCTTTTAGTTTCACAAGATGAGAAGAGTTCCGGAGATTTTTGGTGGTGAGGGTTACATGCTATTATTATGAATGTACTTAATATCACTGAACTTGTCCCTAAAAAGTATTAAGAGGGGTGGCGCCTGGGCGGCTCAGTTGGTTAAGTTAACTCTGGATTTTGCCTCGGGTCACGATCTCACCGTCTGTGGGTTCAAGCCCCGCCTCGGGCTCTGCGCTGGCGGTGCAGAACTGCTCGGGATCCTCTCTGTCTCCCTCTCTGTCTGCCCCTCCCCAACTTGTGCGCACGCGCAAAGTAAACAAACTTTAAAAAAAAGGTTAAGATGGTAAATTTTGTTACATGCATTTTGCCACGTTAAAAGCACACAGAAGAATAGTACATTTAACACTAAGTTCAGAAAAGTGTAAAGAACCATGACAGCACTCAGTCCCGATGCTGCCACTTGAGTAGCTGCTGCTGTTGTTTGTCCCATGAGTGCCACGACTGAGCTCACACTCCCTGCGTGTGCCGCTTTGGTTGTAGGATTTGCGTTTCTTAGATTGAATCTACACAGGATTGCCTGTGTAGATACTACAGAGTTTTATGCAAAAAAAAAAAAAAAAGGAAAGAAAAGAAAAAATAATAAAAATTGTAAAATACTTAAATATTTGTTATATTCTATGCATGATATAGAATATGTTGCATAGTTTTCTACTACACAGAAATCACTACGACTGACCTTCTCCATTTATCTTTCTAGCATTTCTTTTCTATGCACATATATGTTTATTTCTACAGAAAGTCTTTCTTATTCTCACTATATGCTTCGTTCACTTAACAGTATATCAGGAACATACTTTCATGTCAATAATCATTTACATCATCATTTTATTTTTATTTATTTTTAAGTTGGCTCTATGCCCAACGTGGGGCTTGAACTCACCACCCTGATCTCAAGGGTCACATGCTCCATTGACTCACCAGCCAGGCTCCCCCATCATCGTTTAAAAAACGTTTTTGGGGGCGCCTGGGTGGCTTAGTCGGTTAAGCGTCCGACTTTCGCTTAGGTCATGATCTCGCGGTTCGTGGGTTCGGGCCCCGCGTCGGGCTCTGTGCTGACTGCCAGCTCAGAGCCTGGAGCCTGCTTTAGTCTGTGACTCCCTCTTTCTCTGACCCTCCCCTGCTCACGCTGTCTCTCTCTCTCCTAGAAATAAATAAAAATATTTAAAAAAAAAAAATTTTTTTTGAAGGGCGCCTGGGTGGGTGGCTCAGTCGGCTTAGCGTCCAACTCTTGTACTCGGCTCAGGTCATGATCTCGCGATTTGTGGGTTCAAGCCCCGCATTAGGATTCTCTGTCTCCCTCTCTCTGCCCCTTTCCCATTCTCTCTCACTCTCAAAAGAGTGGATTCTCTGTCTCCCTCTCTCTGCCCCTTTCCCATTCTCTCTCACTCTCAAAAGAGTAAATAAACATTTTTTAAAAAAGGATTTTTGAGAAAGTTGTAAAATTAGTACAGAGAATTCTTATATACCCTTCATACATTTTCCAGATTTGGGCCTTTTTCCTGTATTTACTTTGTCATTTTCTGTGTGTACGTTGAGATTTAACACATCATCCTTCGTAACCCCTTATACTTAATATCTCTTGTATGTATTTGCTCTCTTTCTTGTTTTTATTTTTTTCTTATTAGAGCATGTGAGCAGGGGAAAGGGGGGAGAGAGAGAGAGAAAGAACCTCGAGCAGGCTCCATGCTCAGCATGCAGCCCAGTGCAGGGCTGGATCCCATGACCCTTCGGTTGTGACCTGAGCTGAAATCAAGAGAGAAACGCTCAGCTGACGGGCCCCTGGTGCCCCCTCTGTGCGTGTTTTCTAAGAGGAATGTTCTCTTCCGTAACCGTGATAGAGCTATCAAGTGTAAGGCAGCTAACTCTGATGCAGGTGTTTTGTGTGACCTACTTGGCTATTCCACAGATCTCCCCAGGAATATCCTTCTGTCGTCCTATAGCCCTAGGCCAGGGCCACCGTGCTTCATGCCCTTGTCGACATCGTCGTTTCTAATGGACAGAATTCCCTCTTCAGGACGAATTTCATTTGTCTTCTACTGTTCGTCAGTTAGCTTGTTGGCAATTGTGTTTGGAGTTGTTTTTTGGTTTTGGTTTTTTATTTTTTTTAATAGTTTTTATTTATTTTTGAGACAGAGAGAGACAGAGCATGAGCGGGGGAGAGGCAGAGTGAGAGGGAGACACAGAATCCGAAGCAGCTCCAGGCTCTGAGCTGCCAGCACAGAGCCCAATGCGGGGCTCAAACCCACGAACCGTGAGATCATGGCCTGAGCTGAAGCCAGACGCCTAACCAACTGAGCCGCTCAGGCGCCCCGTGTTTTGAGTTTTTGTCACTTACGTCCTATTATAAGTGTTTTCCCAGGGAGGTATAGGAGTTTATAAGAATGATCGGTTTTAAGTTATAGAATATATTCCATCTCTGACGATGCTGTAATTTACTTAAATCATTCTCTTGCTCTTAGGCATTTAGGTTGATTTTAATTTACACAAAAAAGTCCCTGAATCATTTTCTGTGTACATCAGTATCTCCCCACATTTAGTGTTATTTTCTGAAAATACATTTGCAAACATGGAAATGGTGGGTTAAAGGATCAGACCCATTTTCTCTTTTTCCTTCCCAATAAGAAAGTTGGCCCTAAGATGCTGGATCATGAAGGAAAAGAAGTCCCCGGGAATCGAGGGTACAAGTACTTCGGAGCGGCCAAAGATTTGCCCGGTGTCAGAGAGCTGTTTGAGAAAGAACGTAAGTACCGCCAGTGTTCGTGAGGGTCTTAGCCCTGACTGCCGGCTGGCCCGTCACAGCCCTGCGCTGCGTGCTCCGCTGTTGTGCACCGTGCTGCTGTCAGGGTCCTTGTTCCCGCGAGTTAAATGAGAAACTTTAAATCCCGGGAGTTGACTTCACAGCCCAAGGCACCCGGGCGGGGCTGGGCGACTACTCCAGAATTGATGGGTGCCGGAGGCTCGCGCCTTCGCCGTGTCCTCACGCCCCCAGGGCCCGCTCTGATGCTCGTGGACATGGGGTCCCGTCGCAGTTACGTACTAGTTGAAAAAGGCTCTGGCTGAGGAATGAGTAGAAGCCTGGGCCGCACCCCGGTAGGTACAGAGGGAGCCGCGCGGAGCTGCTCTGTGCGGCCTCGGGCCTGGTGCCGTCGCCTGGCCTGCCTTTTCCCTCCGTGGCCGTGGGGACAAGTAGTCGAAACGCTCTAGAAAAAAGTGTGAGACTGACCGTGTCCTCACCACTCCTGGTGCTCTGCGCGCTTCCCTTCCAGTCAGCCTCTGTTTGTTTAAAGCTCTAATTCTACCTGTATTCAGCCCTGCACTTTTTTTTTTTAAGTTTACTTATTAATTTTGAGACAGAGAACCAGCGAGAGAGGGACAGAGAGGGAGACAGAGGGTCTTCTCTGCGCCGTCAGCACAGAGCCTGACGCGGGGCTTGAACCCACAGACCATGAGATCATGACCTGAGCCGAAGTCGGTCATTTAACCGACTGAGCCACCCAGGCGCCCCAAGCCCCGCTTACTTTTAAACGAATTATGCCCAGACTGGTTTTGCCTGCGTTATTAACACCACTTAAAATTCATTCAAGGGGTACCTGGCTGGCTCGGTCGGTGGAGCGTGTGACTCTTGATCTTGAGGTTGAGTTCGAGCTCCACGTTGGGTATAGAGATTACTTAAATATAAAATCTTTACAAAAAGTCTTAAAAAAATATTTAAAAAATAATAACTCAAAATCTAAGTATCATACTGTTCGTTGTGAAAATAATACAGTTTTATTACAGAGATGCTGTAAAACACAGAAACTCAGAAAAACAACTGCCTATATTTTCCCATCTGTAGATGACAGTTGACCTATCGGGCCATATTTCCTTGTAGTTTTTAAAGGGAAAGGACAACCCAACAGGTTGGTCAAAGAATCAAAGCTGATCATTTAAGAAGAAAAAATTCATATGTATAGGGGGCGCCTATATATATATGAAATTGATCATTGAATTCAATCACTGAAATTTTTTATAATGTTTACTTATTTTGAGAGAGAGAGACAGACAGACAGACAGACAGTGCACGGGGAGGGGCAGAAAGAAAGGGAGATAGAGAAGTCCAAGCAGGCTCTGCACTGTTAGTGCAGAACCGGACATGGGGCTTGATCCCACGAACCGTGAGATCATGACCTGAGCCAAAATCAGGAGCGGGACCCTCGACAGACCGAGCCCCCCAGGCGTCCCGCTAATTGAAATTTTTATACATGTGAATTTTTTCTACTGAAATGATGAGCTTTTAGTCTTTCAGCTATCTGTTAGGTCGTCATTTCCCTTTTGATTTTTTTTAAGTTTTTTTTCTTTTTAAGTGATCTCTACACCCAATGTGGGGCTCAAACTCACCACCCCCAGATCAAGAGTTGCGTGCTCTGCCAGCTGAGCCAGCCAGACGCCCTCCGTTTTGATTTTCAAGAATTTCTTAAACATCCTGGATAGTAACCCTTATTCTGAAATTATTTTCCTTAGGGCTTTCTCATTTATCTTTTTTGTTTCCTTGTAGTTTCTCTTATCTATATACTGAACGTTTTCCTATCTTGTTTTTTTCATTTAACATGACATTTCCTATGTTATCAAAACGTCTTGTGGAATAGCAAGAGAGGGACCTTCAGGTTCTCAGTCTTACATCCTGCAGCGTACAGCCCTCCACTCTGTAAATAATGCGCATCTAAATAGACCCATTGGGTTAAAGTTTTCAAAACGGACTTTGGAAAGGGCTGTACCACTTAAGGTAATTCCATGGCCGGTCCAGAGAGGTGCCTACGTCGCGGTGTGGCACGCTCCGTGGCCACGTGGCCTTGTCCGGGATGAAGGCGCGGGCGTGGTGTGAGTGTGGAGGGCCACCGGGCTGAGCTCGTGTCGTTTCTCTTAGCCCTTCCCCCTCCAAGGAAGACACGCGCGGAGCTCATGAAAGCGATCGATTTTGAATACTACGGTTACCTCGATGAAGACGACGGTGTCATCGTGCCTTTGGAACAGGAATATGAGAAGAAATGTAGGTCTCCGAGCCTTTCGTTTCGCTCCAGACGGCCTCCGGCTTCTGGCCCGTCCTTTGAAAACGGGTGTTTCAGTAGTGCCGTGGCCGGAAATGGGTTGGTTTCATTGCCGAAAATTCCTTCAGAGGAAATGGTCCGCACATGGCCTAACCCCCAGTAACTGGGACGCAGTCGGGGCTGGGCTGGGCCAGAGCAGTGGGCGGGGGGAGCCCAGGGGTGACATCGGACCTGCCCCCTGTCACCCAGAATTCATCACCTAAATTCCTTCCCGCGTTGGCCTCTCTTGCAGTCAGGAAGCGATGCCTGTTTAAGTAGCTTTTAGATCTGCCGTGAGCACAGCCAGTAGGTCATCAGCGTTGAGCAAGGTGGGCGTCTCTTTCTGAGAGCCGCTTCCCTGCCACGCCCTGTGCCCGGCGTTTCGGGGCCAGTGTCCTGAAGCCCCGTGCCAGCCCCGTGAGGACGCAGTTAGCCCCGATCCCCCTGGCGTGTGGAGCTAGGGCTTTGGGCGCGGGTGGTCAGGAGCCTGAGCCCTTTCCAGCGCGCCGTTCCGCTCCGTCTTCTTTGTCACGGAGGCCTGTCGGGAAGTCACTCGGGTCCTTGAACTGGGGATGATCTGGGGACTTGCCCGGAGACGCCGCCTTGTGACTCGCAGCTGGGCCTGTGGCGTGACCAGACTCCCTGTCGTGCTGCACGCCTGCTGCCAGGGCGGGCGGAGGGTCCCCCTCTTCCGAGGGGACGCGTGGGCCTCCCGCCGCGTTGCGCAGAGAGCTGACTTAGGGGCCTGCTCTCCCGTGGCTCCAGTCAGGGCCGGCTTGGTGGAAAAGTGGAAAGCAGAGAGAGAGGCCCGGCTGGCCAGAGGAGAAAAGGAGGAGGAGGAGGAAGAGGAGGAAGAGATCAACATCTATGCTGTCGCCGAGGAGGAGGTACGGGGGGGGGGGGGGGGCCGCTGCTCGCTGCCGTCTGCTCGGAGCCACGAAGGCTGGGCCTTGGGAGAATCGGGGGCCTGGTAGGCAGGCTCAGTCCACTGGCGAGGGGTCAGGGCCAAAGCCCAGCTCTGCGAATTGAGCTTCCTCGGCTGGAAGATGGATGTGAGGATCGCCTCTCAGCATCCCAGGGAGGGTTCTAGAAGGCAGTGGCCGTCAGCACTTTGTAAACTGCTTTACACCGGCCTTACTGCCTGCGTCTTAGAGATAGGCCCTCCTGAGTGTACTGCTGTGGGACTTAGGGGCATATTTGATGCCAGACGAGTGATAGCCCGTGTCCCCGTCATTTCTGTTTCTTTAGTCACTTATTATTATCATCATGTTTTCAGGCTTAATTATGTATCTATCGTATTAGTTGCTTATACTTTACAAAGCATCACAGATTGTGTGGCTTAAACACCAGAGATGGATTTACTCGGAGTTCTAGAGGCTAGAAATCTAAGATCAAGGTGTCAGCAGGGTAGGCCTTATTTTTATTTTTGTTTTTATATTTATTTTTTAATTTTTTATTAAAATTTTTTTTGTAATGTTTATTTTTGAGAGAGTGCGAGGGCCACCTGGGTCGCTCAGTGGGTTGAGCGTCCGACTTCGGCTCAGGTCATGATCTCACGGTTCGTGGGTTCGAGCCCCACGTCGGGCTCTGTGCTGACAGCGCCCCCCAGGCACCCCGAGGGTGGTCTTTATACTCAGCACAGTGCCCTTGAGATCCATCCGGGTTGTGAATTCAAGAGTTCATTCCTTTGTATCTCGAGGTAGTAGTCTGTCTACATGGAGAAAAGTGCGCAGGTGGTAAGTGTGCGGGCAGCGAATCTTCATGTGGCGAGTGACCCCGCCTACCAAATACCAGCTGAAAAACCGAACATGACTGGGTGTCACTCTCCTGACCGCTAATAACCCTTACGCTCCTCCCTGTCTCTGAACTTTACGTGTAGCGGTGGAATCATGTGTACCCTTTGGTGTCTGATGGTTGCGGGTGTTTGTCGAGCACCCCGTCGGGGGCTATACCGGATAAGGCTGCCGTGGTCTTGTCCGTATGCGACCGTTTACACAGAGTGTACACTGAGGGGTGGAATTACCAGGTGGTAGGCGGGTGTGTGCTGGGCTTGGGAGAGTCCGCGAAACCACTTCTAGAAGTGCTTGGGCCACTCGCGCTCCGACCAGCAGCAGCCAAGAGGTTTTGCGCCGCAGGGTCCCAGCCGGCTCCCCCCGGCAGCTGGGGGGTCCAGAGGCTGGCGCAGGGCGTCCGGCGCCGAGCCCGGCAAACGGGACCCCGGGACCCCGCCATCTCACGGGAGCCCTCGCTCCTCAGATCTTCAAGGCCACGTTATTTCCTGAAGTCACCAGTGATCTCCTGACTCACGCGCAGAGTCGCGGTTGCTCTTTCTCTAGGCTGCGTACATTTGCTAATTGATACTTTCAAATTTTAACTTAAATAATAGGTAACACTCACAAGGCTCAAAACCCAGAAAATAGATGAAGATCAACGAAGAGTCTAGTTCTGTGGGTGCAGGGATGCAGCCAGTCCTCACGGCTGTCGCGAGTTTCTAGTCTCATTTTCTTTCCTCACTTGCGCAGCGTTGTGTTGCTTTTGTCAGTAGTTGATGGTGTGTCTTCACGGCTTTCTGCGTGAGCACCGAACTTCCCCGTTCCTTTTGTTTCTTCCTTGTGGTTGTTAAATGTTTACTTATCTTTTAAAATGACATTTTTTTTTTACTTTTTTAATGTTTTATTTATTTTTGAGAGAGAGAGACAGCGTGAGCGGGGAGGGTCAGAGAGAGAGGGAGGGAGACACAGAATCCGAAGCAGCTCCAGGCTCTGAGCTGTCAGCACAGAGCCGGACACAGGGCTCGAACCCACGAACCGTGAGATCATGACCTGAGCCAAAGTCGGATACTTAACCGCCTGAGCCACCAGGTGCCCCAAAATGTTTATTTTTGAGAGAGAAAGCGAGCAGAGGAGAAAGGGGGACAGAGGGGCCGAAGCAGGCTCTGTGCTGACAGCAGAGAGCCCGCTGCGGAGCTCAGGCTCCCGGACTGTGAGGTCATGACCTGAGCTGAAGCTGGAAGTGGGGCGCTTACCCAGCCAGCCGCCCAGTCACCCCCGATCACCCCCCGATCTTCGCTCGTCAGTAGCTGCGGAGCCGGCCGTTCACAGCGGCTCCGCCAGGTGGTCCGGTTACAGGCCTGCTCGCTCACGTCGGCCTGTCGTCTGTTCTGCAGTCGGACGAGGAAAGCAGCCAGGAGAAGGGGGGTGAGGACGGGCAGCAGAAGTTCATCGCCCACGTGCCGGTGCCCTCGCAGCAAGAGGTAGGACGGCCGAGCTGCCCGAGGGGGGCTGGGGGCGTGGAGTCCGAGGGGGCAGGGGGAGAGCGGGCTCCGGCAGGTGTCTGGGTCCGGGCACCCCCTCCGGGCCCCGCGCCCCTGAGCCCTCGCGTCCCGCCGCCCGGCCCGCAGATCGAGGAGGCGCTGGTGCGCAGGAAGAAGATGGAGCTGCTCCAGAGGTACGCCAGCGAGACCCTGCAGGCCCAGAGCGAGGACGCCCGGAGGCTGCTGGGCTACTAGCCCCCCCTCGTCCTGGACCGAGTCCTGGGCTCCCTCTCGCACCTTCTCCGACCCCCGGCCCCGCCAGGTGGGGCGCGGTTGGCTGTCGCAGGAAGCCGCTTACTCTCACCCTGAGCGAGTGCAGCGGGCTGCTCGCTGGCCGCCGCGGGCCTGTGCCGGGGACAGAGGTCATTTGTGACCGTTGGCAAGACGCAGGTTTCCGGAAAAGACCTCCCGCGCCCCGCTCTTGAAAGCGAGAGCACGTGGCGGCTCGGCGCCGTCGCCAGGGTTCTCCTGGCCTTCGTCACTCCTGCCTCCTGCCGCTTTCATTAAAGACTTTCATACGAAAGGGCCTCGGCGTCTGCGGCCTGTTCCCCGGGAAGCGGGCTGGGCGCGCCAGGGTGCGGGGGGCAGAGCCCGGGCGCACGGCGGGCGGGGTGCCGAGGCGGCGGCGCCCGGGGGTGTCCAGGCAGCGCGAGCTGGAGCCAAGCCTGTCATCTGGGTGCGTCCCTTCTTTCCGGGGGGCTGGGGGCGGCGACAGCAGAGACGAGGTGGGGACGGCAGTCTCGGAGCTGTGTGTGTGCAGGGCTCCGGGAGGGGAGTGAGCGGCAGGATCAGCCGGCGGCCTCTGGGTCCGGCCCGGCTGGGACCATCCGGGGAGCGCGGGTCTTCGGGTGGGTCAGGGGTCTGGCTGCCAGGAAAGGGCAGGGCCCCGTGTGGCCGCGGGCGGTCCTGGCAGGCCCCTGGGGGGCGGCTGCGGGCAGCAGGGAGCCGAGCGAGCCGGGCAAGGGGGCGACCCGGTCAGTGCGAGACCCGCTTCGGGAAGGTGTGTGGAGCTGGGGGTGGAGACGGGAGGCAGGGGCCCGGTCAGGCAGAGGCGGGGGCGGCCGTGCGGGGAAGGTGGCGGGATGGGGACCCGGGATGTACTGGGGTGAGGGCACCCCGCGTCCTGGCTTCCCCGAAGGAAGGGTGGCGCGGTCCCTCCTCGGCTGAGCCCCTGGGTGAGTGTGTGCAGGGAGCGGCGAGGGGTCGGGTGTTGGGACCCCCAGGGGAGGGGCAGGGCCGGACTCCGCTCTGGGACCCGGGCCCCCTCCCCAGCCTGGCCCGAGTCGGGGGCTCGGAGTCAGTCCCTCCAGGCCCCTGGCCTAGCCTGCCCTGTTTCAAAGCCCAAGACGTCGCCCCAGGCTCAGCAGTGCCTTGGTGCGGGCGGGAGAGACGCCCTCATCACGGCCCTGGGGGCCCTGTGGCGCCCGGCTCAGACCACCCGGTTAGGGGCCTGCCTTCCAAGGGGCCCAGGCAGGCTTGGGGCCGCCCTGCGTCCAAGGGCAGCAGGAAGGTCAAAGGAAAAGGTGACAGAGGAGCCTGGGTGTGGGCCCCGGGGCTCCGGGCCTTCCTTCATCAGTCAGTGGAAGTCACAGGCTTCTAACGTCGGAGGCGGAGTCAGCAGCTGGAGCCCCCGCTAGGGTCCCGCGGTTACAGAGCCCCTCCCGGCCGGGCCGGGGTCTCGGGGCGGCTTCCCCAGGGCGCAGGCAGGACCGGGATTAGTGTCCCACACCTGAGGCCGAGGCTGCATGGAGAAGCACCCAGCACAGTGTCCCACAGGTGTCCCGGCTGAGGTGGACCCAGACCCAGATTTCTTCCTATCCCGCAGGCCCTGGCTGCTTGCCTGCCGGGGTGAGGGGGGGTGGGGGCCAGGGGAAGGTGTCAGCACGGCCCCCAGTCGGGCCCGGAGCAGCAGAGCACTTGGCCGGGCATGTGTGACCACGGGGCTACCTGGTTCCCATGGCCCGTGCATCGATCAGACGCAAAGGAACCAGTCTCAGGAGCCGTGGTGTTGACAAAATCTGTTTTATGGCTTGGCTTTGGCTCTGCCCGAAGTTTCCAGAAAGGCGACTTCCCATGGATACGTTTCTGTCCCTGTGCTCAGCCCTGGTTTTCCTGTGAGTAAAATACCAATATTCCTGTTATTTTGCTTTAGGATTCGTCGCACCAGCCCCACCCAGGCCTCAGACAGCCCTCCTCCTCCCCCTCCGCCCCCCGACACCCGTGCTCCCGCACCCCCTCCTCCCCGCGCCCCTCCCCCGACACCCGTGCTCCCGCACCCCCTCCTCCCCGCGCCCCTCCCCCGACACCCGTACTCCCGCGCCCCCTCCTCCCCGAGCCCCAGGAGCCGATGGACTGGGGGTGTCCCCTCCCCTGCTCGCAGGAACTTGGGAGCGGGGGCAGCAGGAACCCGTCTGGGCCACCCGGCCCTCCCAGCTGGGCGGGCGCCGCGCAGCTCACGAGCCGAGTCGGGTCCCCGCAGACTGTGGCAGCGGCCCGCCCCTCAGGCCTGCCGTCTGCTCCTCTCCTGCCTCATTCTCCCTCCCTCCCCCCAAATAAAGATGTGGCGGGAAGCCTCCTGCAGGACTGAGGGGGGCAGAGTCCCCGCACGGGGTGCTTGTGGCCAACTTCCGAGCCTGGGTTTCGGCCTCCGCGCGGCGAGGAGTGGAGAGCGCAGGGCTGACCCCGTCAGTCCGCGCCCCCGGCAGACGGGGGCGGATTCTGCGGAAGGCAAGTTGGAGGGTCGGGGGAGGGGGGGGCTTCACGGCAGGGGCACAGCTGACGGTGGAGGTGGGGCCTTGAAGGTGTGGGTGTCCGGAGGTTGGAGAAGGGGGTAACCTTCCAAAGCCCTTCCAGCAAGCCCATTTGGTGGTAGTTGGGGGGGGGGCTGTGGAGACCAGAAGCTGCGGGGGAGGAAGCCAGGGCAGTCCTGGGGGGGGCCCTGCGGCGGGGGTGGGGGTAGCAGAGGGGGTGGGAGGCCAGCATGGAGTTGGCAGAGGTTGGAGTAGGGGTGCGGAGAGCCGGCTGATCCCTTATTTCCACGCAGAGCCTCAGGCGTGAAATGGGGACCGTCAGCACAGGCAGGGAGGGCTGGGGTTCGCTTCACCAGTGTTTACGACATTCCGGGGCTTGGGGAGCAGGGAGACAGTGGGATGGCTGGCATTTTTTTTGACCACCACGTGGGCGGAGGGCCGCCCCTGCGAGGGAGCCTTCCCAGTCCTCAGTAAAGAAAACTCAGATGGCACCGTTAGAAGCTGCATATTTTAACAGGTGGCGGTAGAGGGACAGAAAGATGACGAAAGGAAGGAGGAACTAAGGAAGGAGAAGAAAGATGGCATTTGTCGCTCTAACCACTGGAAGGAGCTCTGATCCAGTGTTGGGGTTACAGCGCACGCTTCAGTGTCTCAGCTGGGATGGCGCCCCCATGTGGCAGCAGCACAAACAGTTAAAGCTCATTTGAGATGTTCATTATTTACATTTGGGGCATTAAGTGAGACATTATAAACATTTCTGATTTTGAATGGTTTCAAATGCACATAATTCAGTTTCAGATAAAATGGCACTGTGCCTGCCACTCAGAAACTTCCCACCAAAAGAGAGGAAATGCGGGTATTTTTTTTTAACAGCTTTATTGAGGTACAATGTACACACCATCTTCTCCACCCATGGTAAGTGTACAGTTTAAGGACTTTAATAAATTTCCTGAGTCACGCAGCCCTCACCACGAGAGTCTAGTTTTAGAACCTTTCCATCACCCCACCAAGACCAATGGCGGCTGGGCTTTCAGGCGAGATCCACAGCCAGAGCAGCATGCCCTCGCCCCGCCCCAGACCAGTTCCAGGCAAGGCAACCGTAAAGGCCGGTTCAGTTAATCAGCCCCTTGTCCACACCACCCTGCAACTGTTGACAGTCTTCCTTCCTCTCCCCGGTGCTTCCAGAAGCTGAGCCTTGGCTCATTCCGGCTCCTGGGCTCCCCTTTCCCTTCCCTCTCCCCACCAGTGGCTGTGAGCGGCCACCCTGGGCTGGAGCAGCTGTTGTTTTCTTGGGTTCCAAGCTTCGACGCGCCCCACTTCGCCGGAGCCAACCCAGCACGTGGAAGCCCGCTGTCCCTCCGCCTCCCTGTGCCCCAGGATGGAGGCTATTTCCTGCCGCTCCAGGCTGATGGGAGCCGGGCTCCCAGAACTGCTTTTCCACGGCACTTTGGGGGTTCCTGTCTGGCACTGCTGGGTGTTTACCGTCGGATGAGAGTTCACACTGTTCCAGAACAGATCTTTCCTCCACCTTCTCCACGGGTCTGCCTTGGCAGGCTCTTCCCCGATAAAGCTTGGCCGGTAAAGCTGCTCAGCGACCCTGAAGCCACGGGTCTGGTGGACTTGCCCTCTGTGTCTCCTTAGGCCACGGGAAGCCCTCTCCTCTCATACTGGGGAGGGTATGGCTTTTTGTCTGCTTTGTTCGCGATGCGTTCCAAAGGCCTAGAACAGGACCCGACCGTGGGGGCAGTCACACGTACTGAACTAAGTAGAATCGGAGGGCAGGAGCGTTCCCAGTTCCCTGCCGTCCTGGTGGTCGGCAAGCCCTCTGGGGGGATAGATCCCATTTGATCTATTTTAAGCTTCTTGTAGACATTTGGGTCCCCTTTCTCCAAGGACCCCTGGTTTATGGGCCATCTTGACAGGAGCTGGTCTGCCCGTCCATAGAGCTCCCCGCAAACCTCCCCTGTTCCCCTGCTCAGGCCAGGCTTTGGTGTGTGTGGCCGGGTCAGGCCCAGAGGCCCTGCCGCGCCTGGAGCCTGCTCGGGACCGCGGCGCTGAGCGCGCCGGCCCGCGGGGCGGCGGGGGCGTGGCTGCGCGGGGGGCGTGGCCAGTGCCGGGGGCGGTGCTGGGGCGGGCTTAGGCTGGGGGCGGGCTTGGGGGCGGGGCCGGGCGGGGCCTGTCCACCGGCCGAGGGCCGCGCCGAGCGCGCAGTCGGGCTGGGGGCGGGGCCGAGAGCGGCGCTGGGGGCGGAGTCGGGCTGGGGGCGCGGCCAGGAACGGCGCTGCGGGCGGAGCCTGGCCGGGGGGTGTGGCCGAGGGAGGAGTCCGTCCCGCAAAGCGCTGAGGCTGGAGCGGGGAGCGGGGGAGGGGGCCCGATGGGCCGAGGGGGGCGGGGCCTGGCCGGGGGCGGGGCGGGGGGCCGGCCGGGGCGGGCCCGGGCCGGGGCGGGCAGTCGGCGGCGCCCCTGCTCCAGGTGCTGTGGCGGGTCCACGTCGCCCGGCGGTCCGCAGCTTCCGCGAGCCCGGGCCGCCCCCAGCGTCCGAGCGCCGGCCCTTCGGCTCCCGCGCGGCCATGGCGGGGCCGGGCCCGGGCCAGGGGGACCCGGACGAGCAGTACGATTTCCTGTTCAAGCTGGTGCTGGTGGGCGACGCGAGCGTGGGCAAGACGTGCGTGGTGCAGCGCTTCAAGACCGGCGCCTTCTCCGAGCGCCAGGGCAGCACCATCGGCGTCGACTTCACCATGAAGACGCTGGAGGTCCAGGGCAAGCGGGTCAAGGTGGGAGGCGCGGCCTGGGGTCGCCGCGGTGGGGGAGGGGGGCCTGGCCTTCCCTGGCCGCCGGGCGACGACGGGCACGGGGGGCGGCCCCGGCGCGGGTAGGGGCCGGTCCAGCCTCAGAGCGCAGCGAGCGCGCCGGATTGTTCTGAGGTTTCTGACAATCCCCTCCATTTCCCCTTTCCCTTCCTCCGGTCGGAGCAGGCCCGGGCCTTGGGGTCGGGGTCAGGTTGGCTGCTCAGGGCGCCGGCCTGGGGGTTGGGTGTGTGTGTGTCTGAGGGCGCCGTGCGGGAGGAGGCCCTGCCTGCCGAGCTCACACCCGGGGGGCACTTTGCTCGGAGATAACTCCCCCGGGGAAGGCAGCGCGGGCCTCGGAGCGCGGGGTGGAGAGGGGCCCCCGGCCGGCCTGCCCCTTCCCCACCGCGATCGAGGCCCCCGGCTCGGCCCGGGCGGGGAGCAGCCGGCCAGAACCCCCCCCCCCTCCCCCGCCTCCACGACTGGGAAGGATCAGGAAGTAGTTGCTTCTAGGACCCGAGGGCCAAAACTTTTGTCAGAATTTCCGGCCTGGCCACGCCTCCCTGCTTCTCTTTGTGGACCTGGCGGTGGAACTTTCCTCGACTCGGGCCGCGCCGGGTCCCCTCCCCCCGCGGGGGTTTGATAGAAACCGAAAAGTTCACAGATACCGGAAGGTGGGGGAGAGGACCGAGCTTTGGCAACGGCTCTGAATAGAAACGGCAGGATGTAGTTGCCACACTGTCCCGGCAGCGGCCTGATAAATAATATTTGTGATTAATGAATCAGAGTTTCTTAACCTGGGTGCCAGCCCTCCCTCATAGTTAGGGGGCCGTGGCCAGGCCGGAGCATGGTTTTTGCCCAGTTAACTCTGCTTAACTGAGCCGTGCAGAAATCTTTTCCATACTTCCATGGTTTTGGATTCACATGATCGCCAGGACCGCCCTGAGGAGCGCCGGGCAGGGGCGGCACAGGGCCGCTGCCCTCTCCTGTTATCTCTGTGTTTTCTAGAAGATGAGCCAGGGTGTTGAAGTCCCTTGAGGCCTGATGCTCTGGTGCCTTGCGTCCCTGGGCCGTTGCAGCCCTGCTCACGTTTGCCTTTTGCCAGGGTACTTCGCTCTTTGTTTCTGCAAACTTGGGATAATTTGTGGGTGTTGCCTACCTCCTGTCCCTCCGTGGAGAAAGAGTAAGCCGTGACCACAGCGCCCGAGAGTGGATGCGCCAGAGGAAGCAGAAACGCCCTGCCTGGAGGGTTTGCTTTTTTTTAAACAATCTTTTCAGTCTCTGTGTGTTTTTGGCTTCCTTCGGATAGACAAAAAAGGAGCCACGGGTGGCAGGCAGCTTTGAGTCTTATTTGGGACCACCCCTTCGGAGCAGGTGGAGAGGGACGGGGCCGGAGGCTGGGTGGAGCGTGTCTGTGGGTGCGTTCGTGCCCCGTGGTGCTGCCAGTGGCCACAGGCACAGTGGCGTCCCTAGTATCGAGCATCAAGAGCAGCGGTGTCTCTGCGAGCCGTCCGCCTGATCCTGCGCCCAGGTGTTTGTGGTGGCTGGGTGCTGACGGTGGGCAGGGAAGGGGCAGGGCGTTCCTGTTTACCCGGTGCGATAACGGCCTGTGCCCCAGCGGAGCCCAGGATGTACTGTGTACCCGAGCACGGGTTATGCAACACGGGGCAGGCGCTGGGTGATTCCTGTTCCTTACGGTCCCCTCCGCGTTGGCCTTGCGAGGCAGCGGGGCGGAAGGGGGGTCAGAACGGTGTAGGGAGGGCACAAAGCCCTTCTTGGGTGCCAGCTGTGGTACAGATGTGGTTTTGTTATGTCTGTTTGTTTTGAGACGGGGAGGGGACAGTGAGAGGACTCAAGCGCAGAGCCTGATGTGGGGCTCGATCTCACGACTGTGAGATCATGACCTGAGCCAGAATCAAGAGGCGGACGGCTTGACCCACTGCGCCACCCGGGCGCCCCTACGGATGTGTTCTTATTAACCCTGTCTGGCCTGCGACAGGCTTGTCCCCCAGGGCACACAGGTGGAAATGACAGCTGCGGGGATTTTTCTTCCCGCAGTTCTGTCTCCACCGCACTGAGGTTTCTTCCGTATGCCAGCCGGCTTCTTCGAATCTGGTTGTTCGGAGCAGGAAAGTCTTGGGCAGTTATTTACCTCTTCATTTGATACGCAGGGAAATCTGAGGCTCAGGATACTAAAGAGGCTTTGAATTAAAACCGAGCAGCAGTGGGTGGGGGACTTTTGGGCTCTACGACTCAGAAGAAGCAAGTCACTTTTGCTTTCTGAGTCTGTTTCCCCGTCCATAAAATACCTCAGAGGTGTCTTTTTTTTTTTTTTTTTTTTTTTTACCCACCAGGTTAATTAAGGTCTAATTTCTACTCCTTAAACATCGCCCATTTTAGGTGTCCCGTTCTGTGAATTTCGACAAAGGTATACAGCCCCGTAGTCGCCGCCACACGGCATAGAACATTCCCGCGACCCAGAAAGGTCCCTGTGTCCCTTTGTGTCAGTGCCCTCCCGTACCCCAGCCCCTGGCAGCCGCCGATCTGTTTTCTGTCCCTAAAGTTTCAGCGCTGTGATTTTAACCAGCACCTTTGGGGAGCCGGATTGCATGGTCATTGTTCCTGCAGAAAGCGTGTCCCCATCAGGGATCGAGTGTAAAACCTTCCCAGGGCCGGTCGGGGTGCCAACGGGCATCCGGCATGACCCCCCCAAACCTCCCTGTACTGCTGGCTGTTGTTAGAGCTCGAAGAACCCAGAGGTAGAGCGCCTGGGGTCTTTCCAGCTCCGCTGAGCTCCGGTGCTGGGGGGAGGGGGGGGCGGCTCTGCAGGGGTGAAGGGGGAAGGCCGAGGGACTACCTCCCGTTCCAGAAGAGCCTTAACTAGCTTCTCACCCGGCCAGAGCCATACTTCTTCCTTTTATCCACTTCTGTATCGAGACTCCACTTGTTCTTATTTGACTGAAAGGTTCAGCTGCTAAGAAATCATGTTTGAAACCTCACAGATCTCATGAAACGTCTTTATTTCTATAGGCACTTCCTGTTGCCACTAGAATAACATCCGGACCCCTTACCCGAGGAGGGGGGCCCCTGTCTACCTGGGGGGACTTCATGCCCCTCCCTCTGCCCCTCGCTTGCTGCTGTCTAGCTGTCTGGCCTCGCTAGCCCTTTCTGCCTCGGGCTCTTTGTATCTGTCCCCTGGCCGTCACACCGTGTCCCCACATCCCCCTGCCGCTTCGTTATTTGCCTCCCACTGCAAATGTCTCCTTTTAAGAGAGAGGCCTTCCCTGACCTTCTAGACCCTCTCCCCCATTTCAGGATACGTTCATAGCACTTTGCAGGACTTGATGCTGCTTCATCGGTTGGTCCCTCCTGTACGATGTGAAGCAGCCCCTTGGAAGCGCAGGGATCTAGTCTGCCTTGTGAGGCTCTGAGTCCCGGCACCGACCGCAGGGTTAGACACCTGATGTGCAGCACATGTTTGCGTGTTGATTTTTATTAAAGGGGGGGGGCGCCTGGGTGGCTCAGTCCGTTAAGCATCTGACTTCGGCTCAGGTCATGATCTCACGGTTCGTGGGTTCGAGCCTCGCGTCGGGCTCTGTGCTGACAGCTCAGAGCCTGGAACCTGCTTCGGACTCTGTGTCTCCCTCTCTCTCTGCCCCTCCCCCGCTCATGCTCTCTCTCTTTCTCTTCCAAAAATAAATAAAGAAATATTTTAAAAAATAAAAATAAAAAAGTAATAAAATTAATTATGTTAAGAAGAAATTAATAGAGGGGGAGCTGAGGCCAAAACAGATGAAGTGACCAGCCTGCCCGAGGCCACACACGAGTCAGCGGCAAAACCGGGACTTGAGCCCAGGGTCTGCCCCAGTCCTCAGTCCAGTGCTTGTCTTCATACTCGACACCCCCCTCCCCTCCCGTCTGAGTCCCTCTGTTCATAATGATGACCCTGAGCGTCCTCAGGTTCATGAATCTGGTCAAGAGGCGGTTGCAGCTGCTGCACTTCGAGACAAGCATGTGGACCTGGGCGTTTTATAGATAGTTCAGTGCTAAGGGGTGAAGCCTCCGTGAGTTTCAGGATGCGTGTCCGCCAGCGGAACGTCTAGCCAGCCTTGAACAGCCCACACAGCCCGCTGCGCTGGGTCGGAGGGCACCTTATGGGGTGATGGGTCCCTGTGCCTGGCCGTGGGGATTCCCGAGCCCCTAGCTCTGCGGGTTGAACACAAGGGCGAATCTGGGGGCCGCATCTTGCAAACCGCAGTGTCCGAAAGAGAACACTGGCTTAGGAGTCTGAAGGTCTGAGTCTCACGTCCAGCTGTCACAGCCGCGGCGAGTTCCTTTTCCCTTCTTGGAGCCCGCGGCTTCCTCATTTGTGAGTTGGGCCGAATGATCTTTGCTCTGGCTACTTCTTGGGGCCGTTGGAAAACTCTGGACATGCTTAAAGTAGCGTAAAAATTCCCCTTACATATTTTTGAATGGATAATCGATCCACGTGGTCCAGAATTTCAAAATTTCGAAGACCCAAAAGGGCATACAATTAAAAAAAAAAAATCCCTTTGTCCCCCAGCCCTGCAGTGTCCTCGGAGAGACCATCAGTGTTACTCATTTCTGGTCTGCCCTGAAGGTGCTGTTGTGGATGAAATCGAGGGATTGCCGGTAGGACTTGTATTATTATTGCTGCCGTTGCCGGTTTCCTCCTCAGATCAGGCAGATGATTTCCTAGCTTGCCCCTCCCCCCCGCCCCGCCCCCCTCACTGCCCCCCAGGAAATCTCAGCCGCTTCTAAGTCCTTAAAGCATGGGGCGCCTGGGTGGCTTAGTCGGTTGAGCGTCCGGCTTTCGCTTGGGTCATGATCTCGCGGTTCGTGGGTTCGAGCCCCGCGTCGGGCTCTGTGCTGACTGCCAGCTCGGAGCCTGGAGCCTGTTTCAGTCTGTGACTCCCTCTCTCTCTGACCCTCCCCTGCTCACGCGGTCTCTCTCTCTCTCCTGGAAA